CCCCATCTCTCTCTCCCCATCTCTTTCTCCCCTCTCTCTCTCTTTCTCTCTCTCCCCCCCCCTCTCTCTCTCTCTCTATCTCTTGGATATACATGAAGATGTAAATATTTATATTATACAGTTTACTGTGATCTGACCCATCACAAAATAGTAAGAAAGGAAATTAAAAAACAACAACTTTCCTTCTGAATAATATATAGATCTAGATTCTAAATCTAATATTCTAGAGTGAAAAACATTGACAGGTTTGTAACTCTTGTGATCATATTAGATCTATTCCAACTAAAACGAGGTCATAACAAAATATTAAGGCTGAACATTGAGGTGTTGCTAACGAGTAACATACATGTACAAAGGAAAGAAATAAGAAAGATGATGACGATATATTATACATTATAATTTATAAGATCAAGATAGGATAGAATTAGCAAGCCACGCCACAGTGCCAAACACAACCACCCACTTGAGTGGCCAAAGAAGCGAATACAAAGTATCAAAATCTAAAGAGAGGACACATGATGTGTACAACATTAACGAACGCCTAACACCGAATGCCCAAAGGCAGGATCGGGTCGGTTCAATTAATCATTGAAAGGCAGCTAATTCAGTGCACACTACGAATAGATCTCTCTCTTGTTGTGTCAAATTGTACAAGAATAGACAACTTTGACCGGCGTGTGGAGTTCCTGCGCATAAAACTGTCGGTTATCAACACAACAATTTCCTTTCATAATCGTTTCAAGTCATCTCTAAATCTTTGTATTATATTTGTTGAACTTCACACTTTCGCAGCCTAAAACTTTCGAACCACTTAGCTTTCGAATTTGACCAAATTAATGGTGGTTCAGAATCATTTAAAGGGTGCACAGTTTCATTGAGGAGCCTGATGACAATGTAGCTTAATTTTCAGTATTCATTAGTTTCGTTTTACATAATAACAAAGATTGCGTGGGAATAATATTAAAAATGTATTGTCATAGCCTACATCAGGGGAAAGTTTCTTCAACTCATTCCTAAATAATCGAACCCCTTAACACTGTATACTAATAATACTATTATATTCTAGATCTAAGCGTCATTGACCTAGTTCGATCTGAAAGTGCACATGAGTGTAACAAAACAGTCAAGGATAACAGGCTTAGCGCATCTGTATTATACTACACATTGTACGATTTTGATATTCCACTTCTTGAGCAAAGCAAACCCACGAATCCACTCTTTGAAATTTCTAGTAGTGTCATTCTACGACTCATTCTTTAAAAAACCCAAACCCCCTCATATCACATATTACAATTTTGGTCAGCTAGTGTGCTTGTGTGTGCTGTGTTGGAAGACATTGTTAAAATATCAATATAAAGGGGAGGCTCTGCATACAAACGTACCCTCCCCCATTTCGTGAGCAAAGCGAAGTCATTTTGTGAAATGTATATTTCTTTTTTACCATGAATTTGAAACATTTCAATTGCCTTAAAACTGCAGTTTTTAAAGTCACACTTTGAATAGTACAGTAGGCTACTGTCAAGGGTTTTGAAGACAAACAACACGGCTGGCTGATAAATCTGTTTCCGTACCCTACCTGACAAATTAATACAGAAGCTTTCTTCAAAATTTAAAAAGAATTTTGTTCAGAAAGTATTTTTATATCAGAAAATACTGAAGTACTTCTTCCTCATGCCTCAAACGGTGCCTTTCACCGGACACATACACACAAATATTATATTCATGTATTCTCTTATATTTTCTCTTTACGCAGTTCAAGGAAAGCAAATGAAGCGCTTTTTCTTGGGAGACTCGGACAGCTCCAGTGGCGGATCCTCTGGACCTATGGGATTTGGCGGAAGTAGTGGTGGATCCGGTGGATCCGGTGGATCATCCGGGCCTATGGGATTTGGCGGAAGTAGTGGTGGATCAGGTGGATCAGGTGGTTCATCTGGACCTATGGGATTTGGCGGAAGTAGTGGTGGATCAGG